CACTTGTTTTAGAAAGAATTAGGCAATAGTTTTAACTGTAAAATATATGACCTTTTTTTTWAAATTATCCTAGCTAACATTTCCCTCTCACACACTGGAGTCAGAATTCTACAAAAATGTGTSCATCTACAGAACATGGCTTTTCTCACAAAATAAATGTATAAACTGCACAGCAACTGATGCCTATATGTAAACAGCTAAAAATATTTCAAGATATTCTAAGCAGGAGCAGTCCCAGGCTAGAACTACTGGTTCCCKGCAGAGATGCCAAGCAATCTGGAAAACAGGAAAATGTACCACAATTTGCTATCATTGCTGTGTGCTCTGTATGGCCCTGTGTAAGCATCTAGTATGCATAGAAACTGCTAAAAATTTTAGACAAGGGTCATCAAAATGACCGTTAACCTGAAAAAGCACGATACTGCAGTAGCTCAAAAGTAAGAAGAGTCATTATTCAAAAGTTGGGTATATCTGGAAAAACAATTGTCTCTGCTCTCTGTCCTGACATTCCCTGACTGTCATGGTTCTTATTTTTTGTTTAGATGCCAACGTTATAGGGATTTAAATAAACCTACAGCTTATCAGTGGTAGGTACCCATGGTACCTAAAAATTAAAAAAAAAAAAGGGAAAAAAAAAGAAATCCAGGAAGCCGACAAAGAAAGCACTGAGCAAAGGACTCCCACCTTGCCTAGGTCTCCGACAGATGGAAGTGTCCCCAGCAAGGTTATTCTAGAATAAAGTCTCCCCCTTGTGGATCTCTCACATAACAAAAACTCCATCAAATACTTAATTGCATAATAAAGTTTGTGTTCCTTCCTTTGCAGAGGCAAGTAAGTATACGTAATGAAATCATGGTACATGGTTTACTTAACTCTGTGGGCTTGATCCCACCTCAGGCAAGACAAGCTGTTTTGCTGTAAGATACATTATAGTTCTGTGACCAAATTCCTTTAAAATACACTAAAACCCTCAAAATACTTCATTCTCATTTACATTTACCTATGCAGGTTGGTTTAGTGAAGACTCCCAAATTATCCAAATTAACAGTTTAATGAGGTAAAAATTCAAATTCCAAATTAATTTGATACTTATTAAATAATATAAAATATGGCAAGATTCCCACATAATTTAAGGTGCACAAAGTATCTTATCCTGAAAAAAATGGTTTCACCCAAGAGCAACTTTTTGCAACTCAGAGATTAAGGAGCTATAGCAGCACCATTTGCAGAATGACTCTTCCTCAAACACTTCATTAACTACACTATTCTCTGATCTGCATTAAATTAAAGCGATCACAAAGATTACTTTGCATATGATAATTCACATTATCATAAATTAAGAAATCATTGTGATCACTTAAATTATCATGTTGATCTCAATGTGCTCTTAAGGTATTTAAAAGGGCTTCTAATAAATCATACATTTTGACTCCAGGATTGATTTTTTTTATTATCTAAGAAACAAAATCCTTGATGGCTTGAAATATTATTCAATTATATACGTGACAAACTCATATTTTATTTGCAGTATCAACTGTTGGTCAATACTAGGTAAAAAGCTTTTTAACTGTCCAGAGGCATGTTCTCACATTCATTTCAGAATAGTAATATAATGGTTAAATATTTATTTCTTTCAAGTTCTGGAATAGTGTTAGGTTTCCGACTTTCATTAACAGTCTCTTATTTGTATGCAGTAATTGCTTTAAAAATATTAGCATTGTAATTTCTTGCTAGCACTATAATAAATCAAGAGAAAGGCTTATCCCCATGCCTCCCCACAGAAGAGCATAATTCTGCTTCCCTCAATGCCAGTGACAAAACTCTTTAATTTCAGGATTACACTCACAGAATTCATGAAAGACATCACTTTGACAGWGTAGGACTCTCTCAGAGCAGATGCAGTAGCTAAGCAGTGCTACACTCAATGCTCCTATTAGGAAGCAACAGCTCCTCGAAGCAGAAGCTGCCACTTCTTCACTCTGTTTCAGTCCTTGACCTCTCAATAGCAACTACCAGAAAACCGTATTTCCTGTTCAAAATGTGAGATTTTTTCAGGATACAACATCTGGCTATTGGGAACAAAAAGAGATCTATTTATTCATTTCAAACATCCATCAACAATGTCTGTCAACTGCTGTTACTATGGGACACGCAGAGGTGAAATGACAAGAATCCACTTGCATCTCTGAATCCACAGCATTTCGGAATTTTTTTGTTCCAAGAATTCAGCTCAACAAAAACTAAGTATGCACTACTAAACTGTGAAAGTCTACTAAAGCTAAGTGCATGGGTTCTGATATCTGATGCTTGACTCATGGAAAAATGGGCTTGCAGAAAACACGAAGGCAAAGACTAGAAACTCCTGAAAAAAAAAAACCTTCAACCCAAAAAAAAAAAAAAAAGACATGTTTTACCGTATTCTCAGAGACTGCCTGCTTATCTTGACAGGATGGATGAGAAACTACAATTCTTACTGAATATAAAATAAAAGGAGAAAAATAATTGGTAATTACAATATTGCAGGCTATATTTCAAAATCATTGTTACTTTACTAAGTGCCCAGATTTTCTGGCAAATAGTCTCCATACATGATCATCCAACACTACTAAATGAGCTGTATTACTAGCAGTGACAGACATTTGTAATACACGATATGTCACAATAAGGACAATTGTTAAATTTTATCCCTGAAGAGAAACATCTATACTACCACAGTCACACAGCTTGTGCATCAATACAGTGTGATTATGGATTAAAAACTTCAGCACTTGTCATACAGTACATGTCACACATATATGTGCATACTCACTCTCATTAAATGCACCAGAATGGGTACAACATTTTCCTCTTAAATGAAAGGGCATTTTCCTCTTAAAGCAAACTGTGGGATCCAGAAACAAGGACAAGAATGATCCAGACATTCAGTCCACTGCTACCTGTCATTCATGCATGAGCACATACCAAGGATGAATTTTGTATAATGGTCTTTCAGCTTCAGGTCATTCAACCTGACAGAKAACTCCAAGACTCTATATGGGAAATTAAAGGAAGCTACACTGTAAAAAAATCAACCATTCATTGTCATTTCACAACACCAGCTTTGTGCTATCAAACTAACATGTACCATGAAGTCATTCCTCCCTTACCTTCGCAAGCCTGTTATCCTCAAACAACAGATACTGCCTCATCTCCTTCCAAACCCAYCTGTCCCTTCAACTGTCCATCTCACAGCTACAGAATTCTACCTTGTTCTCTTCTYGCAGCTCTCTTCACATGCCTTAAATTCCCCAATTCCCTCATTTCACTTGCTATTCAAGCTGTCTTCTATGCAGTTTACAGTGTCCCACCCAAACCACATGTTCTCTGAACATCTCACCATTTCTCAGCTCTTGCTACCTCTGTCCCTATTCTCACCATCACCAGTCCTGCAMCCCTCTTTCTCCAAACCATGAATCCCTGTGATCTTTTGCACTCTCCATTATTTTGCATGAAACCTATATGTTCTGGGATTGTAAATCCATGTCAAAGTACACAGGTTACCAAATTAAATTACAAAAACAAGTACATTATTAAGAGACAAAGCCCCTTTCTCCCCCATCGTCTCCTTATGGTAACGCATTGTCCTCACTGCTCTGTATACTACAGTGGCACAGCTCTCTGCACAATCTCATGTGCATTAAAATAAGACAAAGCAAGCTGGAAACACAGCAGAGATTGCACAATATTCTTTTTGACCCACAGAAGTTATGYGGAAAAGTTATTAAACCTTCAACAGATTATTACTGTGAGGCATGAGCTGTGTGAAATGAAATTCAGAAATGGAGTATCTGTGGGGTTTGGGCCATATTACAATATATTAAAAAGCCAGAGGATCATATTTCTCTAAAACACAGGGAAAYATTAAAATTACCATGGAAAATAATAACTCAGAACAGTGATTTAAAGTATGGCCTGTTAATGAGGGGTGTTTGTGATTCTGGAGAAACCAGTGAAAGGAGTTAGCAGTCAGAGGGCTACTCACACAGCATCCCAAAAAACTCAGAGGTGCCTTTTCAATTACTGCTGTTTACAAAAATCATGTGCACATACATCTACACATATCACTAYAGTCATGTTCAAGAACAAAAGGATGACAAGAGCACACCTCAGACAGCAGGAAGCCCATGGCCAAACTTGCTTTTTCTATAGATACTACATTTGAGACTTTGCAGGAGAACCATGTAAGAAAGCAAATAAAGCCTACAAGGCACCATCATGTGCTATTTTTCTCTGCTAAGAGCCCTACAGATAACTCTTGCATAGAAAGTTACGCCAGAAGGAACAATAAAAATCTCTGTATATCAAAGTCACTTGTCTTCACACAGTACCTCTAAACTGAGGCCAGTAACTTGTTTGACAACCTATCTTTCAGAAAGTTGTCCGTCTGGATGTGGAAACATAAGAAAGTTGAGAATCCTTATTTCCCTTGCTTGCTTTTTACACCACACAAAAAGTAGAAGAATCTACCTTCTAAGAAAAYTACTGAAGCTGGAGTATCTCTTTGGCATGGATGTGCCACCTTGCTCACTTCGTGTCACTACATCTGTCCTCTGAGCTATCAAGGCTTAGTCTGCCTATTTCTGGTAAACAAGAATTATAGTCTGACAATACAGCCTGGTAATTCCTCTGTCATGGGGAGGGACATCACTCTGCTCACCATTAAAGAAGTGCCCCCAGTTTCTAGAATGGAAACTAGTTGACAACTTCTGCTTCCCAGCAGAGGGATAAAAAGGTCATTTGCGCAGGAGACATTCTTTTTTCATTTTCCTATGACAAAATGAGCTAAGAATAAACACCTACCCATTGACTTTGTCTTCCAGTAAATAAACTTCATTCTGTAACCCTTACTAATATCATCATGTACACACTTTTTTATTGTACCTAGAGCATGACACATTAGAAACAAAACACCTCATYCTCCCATCTTCTACTGCTCAAGGAAGAAGCAGCATCGCACGAACGCCCAACCGCGGGCTGGAGCCCGGCTCCTGACCCCGGTAATTCCTGCCCTCGGGCCAGGCGCGACGGCACCCGAAGGCCGCGTAAACCAAGCCCGACAGCAAGGCAGGAAGGGCACGGCCTCCCCGCCGAGGGGAACGGGGCATCTCACGGGGAGAGGGGGAAGCGCTCGGGACTGTCGGGGTCGTCGCCCCCCGAGGGAGGCCGGGGCAGCGCAGGGTCCCGGCTGCCCCGGGGGCCGGGAGAGGGGCGGTCCCGCGGCCGGCGGCTCACCTTGTGCTCCAGGACGCTGATGTAGCCCTCCAGGAGGCCGGCCCCGACGGGCAGAGCCGGGTGGCGCTGGCCGCGTTCCGGCGGGCGGCTGGGCACCGCCGCCACCTGCTGCTGCCGCCGCCGCGGCTCCGGGTGGCCCCCGCCGATGCCGATGCCGCCGTACATGAGCAACAAGCTGGTGCACATGGTGGTGAGCGCCAGGCAGACGGCCAGCCCGTGGCGCTGCGGGGGGCAGAGAGAGAGCCGGCTCAGCGGGCTCCCCCCGCCGCGGGGCCCAGCGGGGCGCGCCGCTTCCCCGCCGGCGCACCCGCAAGTTTCACCCGCCGGGCACCCGGCAGAAGTGCCGGGAGAGAACTGGGGAACCCCCTCCGTCCTCCTCCTGCCCCCTCGCCAGCCCGCTCCCGTGCCTCCCTCCTTCTCCCCCAGCCCTGCTTCCTCGCCTCTTCTCCCCTCCGTCCGCCCGGCTACCCCGCGTCTCTCATTCCCGAGCCGCCGTCCCCCTTTGGGCATCTCATTCGTGCATTTTAACGAGTGTTGGGGACTGTACCGCTTGCCCCCGCCCAGCTACCTCCAGCCTCGTCCTTTAAGCAGATCGGTTTTCTACACGCTCCTTAAAACGCGCACACATATACACACAAAACCCCCAAACCACGAGCAACACGAATAAAAGAAAGCAGGCGGAAAGTTCTTGGCCGCCGCCACCGAGGTTTTGGTCGCCTTCGCGCGATCCCGGAGAGCCGCGGGGATGCAGCCGGGGGAAGGCTGGAGCGTGTGCCGGGTGCCCGGGGCAGCCCCGCTCCGCGCCGCTCCCCTGCTCTCCTCCCMGCCGCCGGAGCCGGGATGAGCCGTGCCAACAATGCACTTACCATCAGGGTCTTCATTTTGTGCGCCTCCCGGCCGCCAGTCCTCCCGCTCCCCGCTAGGCTCGGCATGGCGGGGAAGCCGCAGACATGGCTCGGCCAGGGAAGCGCCGCCGTGGCGGGGATTAGGGGGGAATTACACTCGGCCGGACCCTCGGAGCCTGCCAGAGCCGGGTCCTCGGCTGCCCCGCCTGCCTCCGCCTCCGCCTCCGCCTCCTGCTGCCGGCGCAGCGGCGACTTCAGGGCAGGTGGAAGTTAACTTCTGCCTCCCGCTCGGGCGCTGCTCCGCCGGCGAGCCCGCGGCGCTGGGGGGCGGCAGCGCAGGGATCGCCGCGGGCACCGGGCGGGCACCGGGCGGGCACCGGGCGGGCACCGGGCGGGCACCGGGCGGGCACCGGGCGGGCACCGGGCGGGCACCGGGCGGGCACCGGGCGGGCGGCGCCTCTCCGGCCCCGAGCGAGCAGGAGCGGGGGCAGGAGCTCTTTCCGTTCCTCCCTCTCTCTGCCCAGGCCTCTGTCCTGCCTCTGGCACCGGGGCACGACCCTCACGTTACATTATTTGTGTTTTTCCYTAGCGGAACATTCCTCGTGCTACCTGGACTACCTGGAGCTGGCAGTGATCAGTCAATACTTTAAATTCACGTTAGGAATAAATTCGACGCCCTCAACTCCTTGAGCAGCGCTGACAATACCCTCTCACACAATCTTTGCCAAGCTCTAACAACCGGTTTCAAACCCTTTTGACAGAACCTTTCATCGTCTTCTAAAGCAAATCTCACAGACCTGCTCCCTATGCCACCTCTCTGGTTTCTGAAGGCGGACATTTTCCCATTCTCACAAGCAGCCTTCTAAAGTTTCTTATTCTTTCTTCATGTTAATAGAGTATAGTTCAGTTGTGAAAACTTGATCAGACCTCAAATTATATAGATCTTTTGCCCTGAGAATTCCATGTTTATAAATGTGCCCCTTCTAAACAAGCCATTTTTAGGGTTGATCTCTTACAAAGTTATTAGACTGACAGCATCTAAAAAAATCTGTCTTCTAATCATAAGGTTATTTCACTTGAAACTACTCATGGAAATAATAGTTCTAATATATGGCTTCACATCTAACCTACAGCTATATAGTATTAAAAATTACATTAAGGAGAAAACTATCAGCAGGGTAACTCAACCATGGTCACAATAGCACCTTTCTCAAGGCTGGAATTGTCATTGAAATCCATTTTTTATCTTTACTAATTCATTAGAGGACTAACAGTGAAACAAATGCCATCTCTAGCATGGGCACAGCWTGCAGCATTTAGTGCCTTTTAAGARAGGAAAAAGAAACATGAAGATGTATGTGGTACATCAGCAGATAGCGCAGGAAACACGATTTATCAKTTCGCAGAAGATGCCATATTACACACATGCTTGCTGTTTATGCAGTTTGTGGGGTTGGTTTCAACAGTACCAGTTGTTAAGACAAACAAAGCAATATAAGAAGGATCTTATCAGGTCTTGGTAATTCTTTATTATGTGGTTGCACTTGACACTCAAATTAGTGAAACAAAGGGCCAGCTTGATGAATCATTGAAAGCAAATTATCTGTGGCTCTCCAAGGCTTCCTATAAGAGACTACAAAAGGCAGCTCATGCATTTTACAGTGCTGTTTCTCAACTACCAGCAAGCAGGTTGCTAGTGACTGACCTTTCTGAGCCTTTCATATATATTTTGCCGTGCCAAAGTGAAGCATCATTTTTATGATTTAGGCTCATGGCTGTATGTTAGACATCTGTTAWGCAGTATGTCTGACCAAATTCATTAATTTTAAGGGTTTTGGTACAATAGGCTGATTTTAAAATCTACTGATAAAGGAGACAAACTTAATTTTCTAATTTAATGCTTGACTTGAATAATGTCCAGCTTTCTGCCTGTCAAATGTTTAATTAGATTGCCATGTTGGTCATAGACCGTATTCTTGGCAGTCAAATGCTCACTGAAACAAATACAGTAGTGTAATGTAAATCCTACGGAGGTTTTTGTGTAAGCTCAGGAACTTTAGAAATCATCTGGAAAACAGCCCAGCTATTTAATTTAATTTTAAATTCCTATCAACTAATAGTTCTAGCTGTCTGGAGGTTTGGTTTTTTTTAACACAATTGGAATCTGCATACATGTAAATTTGAATCTGTATACCCAATAACCATATTTGCAAGGAGAAGAGCATAGCTGCACTTAGGGGCATTTAATCAACTTGGAAACGAGTCAATATGGAAAACTTCTTAAAGTCCATTTGACTTTCTGCTTCAACCAATTTATTTTCTATATATGAGGGATAACGAACTATCCTTGCATTGCTATTCCTCCTTAGAGCTGGGGCTAAAGACAGATGAAATCATAAACAGCTGCTTTGCCTAGCTCAGGAGAAGAAGTGGCAGAGTGGTAGTAGGGCTTTTCAACCAAGTCTGACTGAGGAGAGCTTTTCACTTGCATGGAATGGACTGGGTTGTCTCCTCTTTCAACTTACCCTTCTCATTTTCATCTTTCTGGTAGCTACAGGCTGACAAAATAGCCAGATGGAATAGAAATCTGCTTGTGGCAGCTTCAGGAGGGCCTAATATGCTAATGACGACATAAAAATCCATGTAGAGTGAGAAATCTGTGTAAGAAGTAATAGCGCAGAGGGAGACAAACCTCTCAAAACTGACAATGGATTGGAGCAACAGAGCTCTTTCACTCATTCCTAAATAAAATTGCTCAAACAACAACTTCCCCTGGGATGTCTGGATATATGAAATAACTACCTTTTTATAATACATTTTAGCCCAGATTGTCTTTCAGAGATTTCCTTAGTAAGATATAACCCTTTCAAGCTATGGTTGATTTCTCATCAAGTTCATATAGACACAATATAGCATAACTTACACTTTAGTATAATGAACAATTATAAACATACTTTCCACATTATGGTTGGCCTGGAATGAGTACTCAAGTGGAGGAGCCTCTATGCCAGAACACCTCAGGAATTGGTAGCCAAAATATTCACTGGAATTTGGGATGAGGACAATGACTGGTATTTCTGTTTCCAGATGTTGTTTTCCCTGAGTGCATGGTCTATTACCTTGCTGTCCCTGTCTGTTTTCCACCATGACCAGAGGAAGGGATACAGAATGCCTCTACACTGGAAGCTGCATCTATCCTTCAGCCCTGTCACCTCCTCAGAATGAAAGCCCGGACAGTCTAAAGTGTTAAATTATTAAAAGATAAAACTTTAGAGAACGGATTCAGATCTGTACCTATTTCTAAAGAAAATGAGAAAAATGAAGTTTTTGTTTATCTACTACCCTTCACAAAGGAGTGAAAAGAGAAAGGATCTGGTGTGATATAAGTAGTTAAACTCTAGGTGAGTTCTACATGTCACCCTGCAGGAGTGCTGAAAGCACTTAAATACATTCCCATCACACTATGTGTATGAAGGTGTTTTTCAGAAAAATATTGGTGACAGAAGTGCTTAAAATAGATTGGGRGATTGTGTCAGGACCACTTTGATATGCTTATGCCTTTGAAATGAAGAAGCTGAGTTACTAAGATTTTATAGGTGGGTAAACATGAGAAAATATTTGTAAAAAATGTAAAATTAATCTAAAAGTGACTGCTGGTAACTTGCACCATTTCGTCATTTTCATTATATTCTGTGGTTTATGAAGCCCTGGATCTGTCTTCTCAAGAGCGGAGCATCCTCACCCCACTGAAATAAACTCCTAGAATCATTTTATCCCTCTCTCCTTGCTGGGCCAAGGAGCTCACTTGAAAGTATAAAGCTCCCACTTCTGCAGCCTCATGAGGTTTGAGCTTAAAGCATGATCACTAGCTTAGAACAGAATATTGCTTGTCCTGGGCCTGCAGCCAGTGACATTTGCGAGGATGGCTGGGAGTGCCACATTTCAGAGGAAAGAAGCAATCTTTTTTTGACTGACTACGTAGAAAAGTGAGACTAAAGGTGCTAAGGAGGTTGGAATATGATGGAAGT